AACAAACAAATAAACAAACAACAATAAACAATCAAACAAAATAAACAACAATCAAAAAAAAAATTCTCCTACGCGTGTACGAAATCACCCATCGCACATTTTTTTCTAACTTGCGTCCGTATTACGTAATTCCAAGGACAGTTCCTCCCATGTCATCTTTCTTGACGAGTTGATCAATACTTTTGAGTTTCCCCTCACGTGTGCTTGCGGGGATTCCCCTCAGGTGCTCGCGGTACATTTGCCACTCGCTGCCAGCTGATCGCGACTCGGGAACTTTTGAGGGTGTATTTTATATTTTATTTTTTATTATATTTCATTTATATCTTTTTTTATTATACTTCATTTATATATCTTTTCATTATATTTCATTTATTATATTTATATCGTTATTATATTTTATCTATATTTTTTACTTTTTTATTACATTTTATTACATATATATTTTTTTCATATTTATTTATATATATTTTTCATCATATTTTATTTATGTATATTTTTTATTACATTTCATTTATATATACTTTTTTATTATATTCATTATATTTTTTTTATTTATTTTATTTATAATATATATATATATATTATATATATTATATATATATATTTATATTTCATTTATAATATTTATTTCATTTATTATCATTTATTATATTTTTTATTATTTCATTTATATTTATATATATTATTTTATTATATTCAATTTCATTTATATATATATATTCATTATATTTCATTTCATTATAATCATTATATATTCAATTATATTATTTTTTATTATATTTTATTTATATATTTTTATTATATCTTATTTATATATATCTTTTTATTATATTTCATTTTTTTTAATAATCTCCCTAGATAAAGGGGTAATATTCATTTTCCTTTTGTGTTTCATTTTGACGGATATTCTGTGTAATATTTATCTCTGCCTCTAACTCCGTTTCAATCAATTTCAGTGTATTTTTTAACGAAACCTGACTATATACTAACTATATAATATACTAACACAAATACATAATAACATAATAATATAATAATATACTAACACAATATACATAATAACATAATAATATAATAATATAATAACACAACACACATAATTATATACAACACACATAATTATATAGTATATTATATAATAATATAATACACTAAGACAACACACATCATTCATCAACAGGTTTTTCTCCCCAATATTAAAAAGGGAAAGTGTTTAATAGGAAAACGCTTCTGACAAAAGGAATTACTCATTACACTCCCCAATCGACACGTACTTAAAATTGGCAAAATACATCCGTAGATTTATTTCACTTTTTTTTTTTTTTTTTTTTTTTTTTTTTTTTTTTTTTTTTTTTTTTTTTTTTTTTTTTTTACATCGCAATCCCCCCCCCCCCCCCCGCAGTTGCAGCAATTCAAAGTCCTCTCAACACAACACAGCAATTTTGGACACCAATTTGCTTCTGGTTAAAGGCGATGTAGTGATAATAATAAATGCAAATGTAATTGTTTACGTAAATTATTAATTGTGGTGTGATATACTTTTCCTTTCCTTTTCCTTTTCCTTTTTTTCCCTAAAATGGGCCAGTCACTTCCCGAAAAATAACAGTGACATTTGTTAATGGAGTTTCAGTGTTCATACCATCCGTCATATGAATAATTTTGAGAGTTCCTGGGTCGATGTCATTGGCAATTTTATCTTAATTAATGGCAAGGTTTTCGATTTATTTGGTCAGATTTCGATTCTAGAGAGAGTCTTCTCTCTCTCTCTCTCTTCTCCTTTTCTCTTCTCTTTCTCTGTCTTTCTCTATCGCTTTCTCTCTCTTCTTTCTTTTTTTTTTTTTCCTTCTTTCTCTCTGTCTGTCTGTCTCTCTCTCTCTCTCTCTCTCTCTCTCTCTCTCTCTCTCTCTACTCTCTCTCTCTCTCTCTCTCTCTCTCTCTCTCTCTCTCTCTCTCTCTCTCTCTCTCTCTCCTCTCTCTCTCTCTCTCTCGCTCTCGCTCTCGCTCTCGCTCTCGCTCTCGCTCTCGCTCTTCGGTCTTCGGTCTCGGTACTCGGGTCTCGCTCTCGCTCTCGCTCTATCTTCTATCTCTCTTTTATCCCTCTTTATCTCTCTTTTATCTCTCTTTATCTCTCTTTTATCCCTCTCTCTCTATCTCTCTTCTATCCCTCTCTCTCTCTATCTCTCTACTATCCCACTCTCTCTCTATCTCTCTTCTATCCCTCTCTCTCTCTATCTCTCTTCTGTCCCTCTCTCTTATCCAACTTTCTGTCCCTCTCTCTCTATCTCTTTATCCCCCCTCTCTCTCTATTCTTCTCTACTATCACTCTCTCTCTATCTCTCTTCTGCCCCTTCTCTCTATCCTAACTTCTGTCCCTCTCTCTTCTATTCTTCTATCCCTCTCCCCTCTCTATCTTTCTTCTATACCTCTCTACCTTGTTTCCCTCTCTCTCTTGTCCAACTTCTGTCCCTTCTCTCCCCTATTTCTCTATCCCTCTCTCTCC